AGTGTCGCCAAATCTTGAGGGCATGAACAACTGCAGCCAACTCCAAGTCGTGCGTCGGATAGTTCTGTTCATGTATTTTAAGCTGGCGTGACGCATAAGCAACGACCTGGTCGTCTTGCATAAGTACACATCCCAAACCCTGCCTCGAAGCATCACTATAAATGGTGAAGTTCCGAGAAGGATCGGGTATAGTCAACACTGGTGCCGTCGTAAGCCTCCTTTTTAACTCCTGAAAACTCGACTCACAACGGTTTGTCCACTCGAACTTTACAGACTTCCTCGTCAGCTGAGACAAAGGGAGCGCAATCTTCGAGAACCCCTCGATAAATCTGCGATAATAACCTGCAAGGCCGAGGAAACTACGAACCTCGGACGGATTCTTTGGTGCTGACCAATTCTGAACTGCAGCTATTTTGGAAGGATTAACTTCAATACCTGCTGAAGTAATAATGTGGCCAAGGAAAGCCACTCGCTGAAGCCAAAATTCGCACTTGGAGAACTTTGCATATAACTTCTCTCGTCTAAGGTTCGAAAGAACGGCCCTCAGGTGCTCCTCGTGCTCCTCCTTGCTCTTGGAATAAATAAGAATATCATCGATAAAAACAATAACGAACTGGTCGAGAAAAGGATGAAATACACGGTTCATCAAGTCCATGAATACTGCCGGGGCATTACTGAGGCCAAACGGCATAACCACGAACTCGAAGTGACCGTATCTCGTACGAAAAGCTGTCTTGGGTATATCTGACTCCTTGATTTTCAGTTGATGGTAGCCTGAATGCAAATCGATCTTAGAAAACACGCATGCACCCCTCAACTGATCAAATAAATCATCGATCCTGGGAAGTGGATATTTATTCTTGATCGTTAACCGGTTAAGATCCCGGTAGTCGATACACATACGCATGGATCCATCCTTCTTCTTGACAAAAAGGACTGGTGCTCCCTATGGAGAAACGTTCGGTCGTATAAAACCGAGATTCAGCAACTCTTGAAGTTGGGTCTTTAATTTCTGCAATTCTTTAGGCGCCATTCTGTATGGTGCCTTTGAAACGGGTCTGGCTCCAGGGATAAGATCAATAGAAAATTCCACCTGTCGGCAAGGCGGACCTCCGGAAAGTTGGTCTTGAAACACGTCAACAAACTCACGAACGATAGGAATGTCATGAGGTGAACGTGCCTTCGACTCATCTCCA